ATAAATAAACCTTAAAAGACTCGGTTAACGATAATATAATAGGTAATTGATAAATAAATATGAAGAAAACGACAAAACTTATTTTTATTTGAATTCATTATAAATAGAGGGCGGAATATATGCATCAAAATATAACAAAATATGCGCATATATATGCATCATTTTTACCAAAAATATGCAGTTATTTTGTCCAATTATGCCTAAATATGCAAATGCATATTTGTTAAAAATACTTAAAAAAAAGTAGGGGGTGGGTAGCTCAGTGGTTAGTGCATTGGCCTGTGGACTTAGGGGTACCGGGTTCAAATTCCAGCCGGGACGCGATTTTTTAAATTAATTAATTTATTTAAAAATTAATTCTGATGCCTAGCGAATATTTCCACTTGACCATTCACTGCTGGGTTCTAATTAACATTGCTGTTCCTAATTTGGTACGCTATCAAAGCCATTACACGAAAAAAAAAACAAAAGAAAATATGTAATATAAAAATTTATTTAAAACAAACGAAACACAAAAACGAAGTTAAGTATAGAATAGTATAAAAATATTAAATAGTAATATTATAATAGGAATTTATAATTAAATATTTTTCGAAATTTTCTATTAAAAATTTTTGTCTTCTGTCTGTAAAAATATGTTTTGATATAGAAAAGGTCCTTTCAACATCTACCGAAGTAATAGGACAATACCGTAATTTTGGAAGTAATGTACAGGGCCAACGTAAAACTTCTTTGGAAAATTTTCCCTTAAAAATGTTTTTCACTTCCCTTATTTCATTGAACCCTTCATTCTTTAATAAAGTTGTATTTAATTTTTTTCTAATCTTAAGGCCTATGTCACCAGGAACATTGTTACATTTATCGGAAACTGTTGCAATAAAATTTGTTGATTCGATTAAACTTAAATTTTTCTTTTCCAATGAAGTTATTACATCAGGTAAAAAACTAAAATTAACCTTTATAAACACAAGTTGCTTAGGCACAAGGGGATTTTTTAACAATTCTTTACTTTGCACTACACATTGTTAATTGTCTTCTATATCCAAAATTAAATCCTTAATTGCTTCAAAATTTTCTGCATAGAATATAGCTGCTTTAATCCATGTCCCCCATCGCGTAAATACGGGTTCCGGGGACAAACACACCCCTACCATTCTCTCTTTATACAACTGCACTCTTAAAGGGGCTTTTAAAAATATTTTTTTCACATTCAAAATTAGCTTGTTAACCAACTCACAGTTTCTGCAACTAAGTTTATTCCATGCAGAAGACAAGTAAAGTGGACCATATTTGGATAAAATATTTTTAAGTTTTGCCCTACTTTTATCATATATGGTGCTGCGTCAGACAAAAACACTAAGAACTTCTCTGAGGGAATTTGATTTGGTAAAAAAATTCTGCTAGAGATTGTTGAATAAATCGGGTAACAGTTGTATTGTTAGTTTTTCTAACTGTTTTGATGCAATTAAATATGATGTACCTGGTTCATTTTCTTTTAAGGCTCCAATCATAAGATGTACCATATATCTTCCACAAGCATCTGTGCTTTCATCAACAATGATGTAAAAATTGCTACCATCCAGTAAAACTTTAATTTCTTCTATTACATTTATATATATATATATATAACATGTACATTTTTTTTTCTGAGTGTAGATTCGTCAGGAATGGTTTGATTGCAATATTTTTGTAAAAATTCTCTTAGATGTAGGTTTTGTAACTTCTTTAATGGAATATTTGCCGCAACAAGAGCTTTGCACAAGTCCTGATTAAATACCTCCTTGTCACTTTTTGTTTTGTCGGCGTTTTGAAATGACCTCACAACGCATTGTTGAACCGGTTGTGATTTCATTTTTTGCAATTTGGCTTTATGCATTGATGTTTTCACGTGTTGAACCACTTTGAACTTTTTTTCGCAAACCACTATTTTGGCACAAGCTTTACAAAAAACTTTATCCCCATTGATTTCCAACTCTGGAAAGTTAATAATCCACGAAGAAATTCTCGACATTTTAGGACACTTTTAAAACAACAAATTATTACAAGACTTTTCACTAGGCAAATAACGAGGATACTATCTCATTAAACGGAATGAAAAACATTCAAAATATTCCGATGTTAGGGTAGATTGGTTACAAGAAATTACTGAGAATTTTATATAAACCGTTTTATTGCATTGTAGGTAATACTTTATCTGTGTAAATACCATCTATTAACAATTACCTTAATGGGCTTAATCTCTTAAGAAGGTAAAAACCCAGTGCATGCCACCCTCCAAGAACTAATTAACAAGAATTTACAAGAAGTGACACTTAAAAACAAATACAAAAATTTAAAAGGTCTTTATTTCAAATATATCTGTATAATCTGTTAAAACAGTTTCTGATTTGCACAGTATAGTAATACATTTTTTTTTTCGAAAATATGCAATATTTTCTTAAATTTTCTGAACTTTGGTAAAATATGCAATATTTTCTGAATTTTGGAAAAATATGCAATATTTTCTGAACTTTGGTAAAATATGCAAAAAATGCATATATATATATATATATGCATTTTGCATATATTCCGCTCTCTAATTATAAATATATAACACTTCCAAAAAATATTTGCCGGCTTCATATCATTTAGTTCTTGTTCAAGAAAAATAAACTTATTTGAACGTCCTTATTTATTTCAAAATTTGGACATTCCACCCAGAAACGTTTATTAGAAAGCAACATTAGCAGTTAAATATGGAACTATAATTTTCTGGTCACTTTACATTCAATATAAATCTATTAACTCTTATTATTCATAAAAAGCATACATTTAATGTTTTTAATTCGAAGAAGAATCGACATCCTCTAATCATTAGAACTTCAAACTTTTGACAACAGTGGCCTTTTCTAATAGCACAATGTTGATGTGATGGAAGGTTATTCACTTCGATGGTGTTTAGAAGCAACAACAAGAAAGCAACACTATACACCCACCTTGAAAAAAATAGAACTATGTAAAATCATTTAATACCGTATTTTGAGCTTTTTCATATCGACATGAATTTAAATTACCTTTGAAAGCAGAATATTCTGTGAATTTACAGGATATGACCTTTTCCTTTGGTTCATTTATTACTGAATAACGCTATAAACTTTGTGTGTTCTGGTGTAATTCTAGCTTTAATGTTACAAATAGTAACCGAACATATGATAGTGCACTTCCTTGGAAGACCTACAATAGAATAGAAAAAGTTAACAATAGTGAGTAGTGAGTTTGTATAATAAAAAAATGTTTCTTTCTTAAACACAAATCTCTTTGAATACAATAATTCTACAAAGAATTGGAGCTTAGAAAGTGTAGATACTTACGTTGCGAATTTCAGAGCCAGTAAACTTTATATTATTTATATAAAAAATCATTAATCATATTAAAATCCATCTTGGGTAAGTTGTATAAAGATTCTTCTTTTAATCCTGTTTGTACTTTGGCCATTTTTAAAAAATTAAATAATTTTAAAATAAATCAAAATAATCTCTCAATCGAAAACGAGGTTAGGATGATTTAGATATTTTAGACGAACAGATAAATCCACGTTGCCAGACTTAGAGAAAATATTTCACAATATGGCGATTATGATTTGAATAACATTTTGATTAGGGAGAAAGTTTTATTAAAATAGTAAGTTTCAAGTTGCTTCATAAAAACTGAATTTGAACAATTATTCTTTTAGTTTTAATATATATGTTTTTGTGTTAAATTATACGATCTTAACCTTTAAATTGTCGGTTTATCCGGAATTTCAATAATTCTTTATAGGAAGCGGCAACAAGGTAAAAACATATCGACTATTGTCTGGAAGGTTATAAATTGGCCAATCAGATTTTAGGCTTCATCATGACGATGCTTAAAAATAATTATGGCGCGCGTTTCAAATTTGCTTGATTTTTTTTTAATTTTAAAAAATTCTTGTAGGAAAATTTGAAAAGAGAAAAATTTCAAAAAAATATTTTTAGATTAGATTTTGTGCTTGCTTTTAGAAATAAATATTTTTGAATTTCACTAAACATGCCCATTGTAGGTGTTGGTTTTTTGAACTATTTACCCCTAATTCTAAAATAATATTTGCATTAGTTTTAAAATTTCCTGTCAATCATATTTATTTGTATTTATACAAAAAATGCAGACATAATGACGGAAATTTGCTACAACTTGGCATCAATGGTTTATAGTGGATCTATACGCTTTGACCTGACTTTCGTTAGCGGAAACCGGTAGCATTTAGAGAAAATAGTTTTGAGTAAAATACTTTATTAAACATTAATTGAACGTGGTTGGTTTTCAAGATATGTAACGGTTCTCAGTTGTGATTTGGTGTCTTTTCAACTCCCGCCTTAACCTAAAAACTATTAAAATAAAAGTGTCTAATCACTAAAAATTAACAACATTTTTTTCCTTGAAGAAGCACAATATAAACAAAATACTTTTTATGGGCTGTTTATAAACTCAAAAATGTAAACAATAACAAGCCACTACATTTGGTTTAAATGTCAAGTACAGACGGCGCTGCGATCTTAATTTTAGATCCCAATTGTTTGACAGGTCGTTGGAATGCCTAATAGTTCGCAGTATCATATAAAATTGCTTATTTCTCCGAAACCGTTAATTTTATCGATCTGAAACAAGAGTTACTTTTTGTTGGAACATATTTGAGAAATGAAATTCGATAACTATTGCAAATAATAAGTAAATAAGCCTCTTTAATATATAATACAAATTAAATGAGAAGTACCGTAAAACAGTCATTTTTTATCAAATCGATCTAGATCAGCAGAAGTCACTGACAATTTCATCAAATTATATCGAAATGCAAAATCATTAAAGATTGGTGTAGGGTTCTTTTGGGGTTGATTATAGATTTCCAAGTTATGGATTTCGAAGTGATGCAGAACTTTTTATCAATGATAATTTAAAAAAAAGGAGAGTTAACTTGTTAACTGGGTTAATAAAACACACTTCTACTAATTAAAAAATGTATTACTTATCTAAATTTGAAACAATCTCAAACCATTGTCTCAAAGCGTCACTTAAAACACTCGGTAATGAATTAATGTCTCTCAAAATGATATAAAATGAAAAAGGAAACACATCCATATAGTTCTGTATCTCATGCAATTTTCCATCTTTAAAAACGGGCATTCTAATATCCAGAACGGAATTCTTATTTTCCGGATTATCGATAATAACAAATACCATAAAAATATTGGCCAGCTTGGCTCTTCTTACAGCTTGTTTAACGAAAACTTCTCCTTCTGAAAATACTCCTCTACCATCGCTAACTATAACTAGAAGCTTCGCGTTCAGCGCTGTGGACTGCAACTGCGATTGATTAAACATTTCTGTAGCGAAATCAACCAATTTGGCTATAAACGTCTTGTTTTCGTCAAATTTAAACTTCTGAAGCAGCTTTATTCCGCTCTTATCAGTAAACGTATCGGTCAGTTTGTGTATAACCTCAATTTTTTCACCAAAGCTGAGTACGGAGAGTTGACCAGTTTCTAGAAGCGTAAGTGCTTTTGAAATAAGAGCTACACTTTCGAAAGCCAGTTCTTTTGAGTGATTATCAGCCATGCTGGAAGAATCATCAATTGCAAGAACTATTTGGTATTCCCTCTTGGAAGGCTTGGTCCTTCTCAGCCAGATTTTATCTTTACGGAATTGAGAAGCTATGTACGATATGACTTTCCTCATATTTATTCTTTTGCCTGTTCTGAAATCTCCTTTCAGTCTGGTGGCTTGGGTAGGCTCTAAAACTAACCGTAATTGTTCTGACAGGTCTTGAGCTAAGGAAGACGTGACTGATGAAATCTTTTGCCAAGCTTGATCAGCTTCTAACGTATTAGGAGGTTCATTCCATCCTGATAGTTGTTTTTCGACATCTACTCTTAAGTTATTTATTTCTTCTACTGTTAATCTTGTAGCGGTATTCTCTAGAATATTTGAATATTGTGTGTGGTGTGTAGATTGTGTATCGCGTGGTACTGTATGGGTTTCTATAGCGTCTCCATCAATTTGGATGTCTTGGAGTTCTTCCAGAACGTCTCCATCAGGATGCTGATCTTTTCTATGTTTTCTATCTTTGGAGTCGGCAGTTTTTTCAGGATTAACGGGTACGGATTCATCAGCTTCTTGTATTTGTGGATCTTCGTCTGGTGATAATTCTTTAGATGACTCCATAGTTTCCTCATCTTTACCTTCTTCGTGTTGGGTTTCCTTCTTTTGACTCTCCGCTTGTTCTTTTGTAGCAACATCCAAGATCTATAAAAATAAAATATGTTTTCTGTTCAGACTTTCGAAAATATTTTTTAATTAATAACTTACCTGAGTTTTAATTTCATCCGCGTCCTTAATATGCTGATACATCTCAGCATTGTCTTCCATACTTTCATCCTTATCATTTTCTTTCTGATCGTTATTTTTAGAATCGACAGTCTTCAATTTTTTCTTAACCGGTTGGTTTGTATCACCTAAACTTCTCTTTGAATCAGATTCACCGGGTCTTTGTTTTCTTTTCTGATCCTCTTTAATGTTGTCTTTGGTGGTTTTAATTTCTTGTTGAGCCGAAGTTTGCGCCGTATGACCAGAACTATTTTCTTCCATTTGGGATTGTCCAACACCTTCTTGATCTGGCCTGTCTTCCTGTTGAAGTTCGTCAATTGTTTGATTGGATTTTTGGTTTTCAGATTTACTAGCTTGTGCCTTAAAGCAATGAAAGAGATAAAATATAAATAATAGGGAGAAAAATAGATAACTTACTTTATCTGCTGCCTCTGCATCGTCGACTTCCATTGCTTCGATATTCTCTTGGTGACTTTGAGTTTGATCTAAACCTGAATCGTCAACGTTTTTAGCATCAGTGTCTTCTTCAGGTTCGGAAGAATCTTGCGATTTATCTGCCTGTTTTTCATCTCCAATGTTTTCTTCTTTATCTTCTCCTTCTTGATCATCACGTTTCTCAATGTCTTCGTCGTCGCTACTAAAATCTTTCTTATCATCTCTCGATTCATCATCATTCTCATTATCTTTAGTATCATCTTTTTCGTCAGGGACGTTTTCTGATTTCATTGTATCGATATCGAAGGGATTTTCTTCGTTATTTTGGTTTTCTTCTTCGTGTTGATCGCCTTCATCAAGTTGCATATCATCTGGTAGATCCATGGGTTCGGGCTCTGGTAATTCTGGTTGATTACCATGATGAGGATCGATTTGGTTGTCATCGTATTCAGGTTCTTCCATTTCGTTTATTTCCTTTTTATCATTTTCCTTCTCTTTGGATGATTCTTTATTTTCGTTTTCTTCTTCTTTTGAGGTTTGACCTTCTTTTGCTCCCAATTGATCTTCGCCTTCTTTTTCACCTTTATCGCCCTTTTCTTCCTTGTCGTCAGTGCCTCCTTCTTCTTCTCCTTCTTCCTGTTCGTCTTTATCGTCTCCAAATGTTTCTTTATTAGATTGTTCTGCTCCTTTCTCAGTGTCACCCATTTGTTCTTCTGCATCTGAATCTCCAGAATCGCTATCGCTGTCATCGTCCTCTTTTTTCTCTTTATCCTAAAAAATACATTGTTATTTTGTTTAATGAAAGCAAATTTTAAGTTATTTACTTGAAGTTTGCCATCGAAATCTTCACTCATCTCTATTCCCTTTTCTTCTTCTTTACAATCTTTATCGTCGTCTTCTCCCTTTTCTTGTCCACCTGGTTGGGCATCATCGAGTTGATCTTCTGATTCGATTTTATCTGATACATCTCTTTCTCCTTCGCCTTCTCCCAATCCCATACCATCGGATGGTTTACTAATACCCTCCTTGTCAAATTCATCGGAAAATTCCGGTGGTATACAGAAACCCTTAAAGAAGAATTATTAATAAAGACAAAAGTAATTCGAATGCTTTTGGTACAATTTTACTCACTTTTGATGCTAATTCTATGAAGATGTTTACCACAATAGAACAAATTTTTGAAGTGGATCTGTAACCACACACCAGTTGTGTAACATAGTATCTATAAATTAGAGCCAATTGATCCAAAAGACTCAAGAATTCGTTAACCAATATTTTTCTTCCTTTCGTTTCTTTTGGTGAACTTTTTAATAAAAAACCAACAATGTTTTCGATTACTTTAAGAACAGAATCGAAATTTAAAAAGCTTAAATCGTTTGAAATGTTTTCTATTAAATATTTTTTAATATGACCATCTACAATTCCTTCTGTTACTTCAGCTTCATCAGGCTTAGGAACCGCTGAAGGTTCTTTTTTCAATTTTTTTATTATGGTTGTAACATTTTCTAAGAACTTTTTGACATCCTGTTTCCAATCATAATCAACATTAGTTGATGTCTCGAACGCTTTTGCTTCTCTTAAAATTATTAGTTTGACTGAAATTTCAATCTGTAGCAAAGTGAGACTATTAGTTAATGCAATACCACCAAGTATATTTTTGATAGAACTGATATTCTCTATCAAATCTTGAAGATCAACTTTTAATTTATTTAAGTCGGCTACAGGTACAAATCTTTCAGTAATTACTGAATATTTCAAAAATGGCACTTCAGCTTTGGATTTAGTGAGTTGCAAGTTAATTTTATTGGTTACAGTTTTAATTTTATTTAATATACTGGTCGCTCTCAGCCAAATTTCGTCGTTTTTGAAAATTATTCTGTTTACTACGTTAGATTTGAGTACTGGAATGTCCAAAGTTTCGCAGTTTAAAGTTTCATCTTCGGGGCATGTGTTCAAAATTATTTGAAACTGATCTAAGGAGATCGTCAATTTTGATAGTAACTCTAAGGTGCCATTGACTATGCGTATAGGTAAGAATTCTAAACCGTTGTTGAATAACTTTAAATGATTTTGGTACGTTCTCAATTTATAATAAGCTCTGCTAGCAGATATCAGATCGGATTTTTGTTTCTGAACCAGAGTCTGAAAAAAAAATGATGATAACGTCTAATTAAAAAATATATGCAAATACAGGGTCTTTTACTTTTTTAAAAGGACTTCAAATGTCTATAGAATTTTTAAAATTGATACAAAATGTTTAGACAAACGTTCAGGCGTTCAAATTAAAAGTTGGTATTATAATCATAGCCGCAAGAGAGTGATCTGTATTGTACTACTTACGGATTAAATTGACATATAACTTTTTCTCAAAATACAAGATGTTTATCTATAAATTGACACATTTTAACAACCTATAACTCGAGAACGGAAAAAGATATCGACATGCAGTTTCGTCTTCATAAATGTACTTTGTTGTTTGTTTACATTATTGCCACCTGTTATTTTTTTCTGGAAAGTGCAAAAAAATTACCTTCTTTGCAATTTCTTCTCTTTATTTATTTCTATTGATAGTAAATTTTATATTTTATTATTGAACTACAGAAATATTTTTAATTGTTGAAACAGTATTACCTTTTCCTCAAATTCAGTTTGTTACAATATCTTGCCTGACATTTATTTACAAAATGTAATGTAACTCAAGTTTTTTTGTATAATTGCCCCAAGTAAAGCATTCACGGTTATTACAATCTGATCATTAGGATAAATTAGCAATTTTATTCTAACCTAACTTATCTAGGGAGTCTAATTATTAAGTTACACTACCGTTAACGTATAACACTAAAGCGCACTATATATACTCTGCTTTTATCTAACATCACTGAACTAATTCAAAAAGCTTGGTTCTCTTGAGTCTTCTTATTAGATTGGAATTGTTGAGAAGCTCGATAACCTCAACGTTCCCATGTAGGAGGAGTCGTTACTGGTGACTACTGACAAATAATTTTTTTATTGTATTTTCAACAGTGTCCACTTTAAGGTCACTATGAAGGTCAGTATTGCGGCAGTACCAGGGTGCATCGACAATTCTGGAAACGTTTAATAACTTTAATGTTACTTTTACAGGCAAAGCCCCAGAGCTGGATACCATACGTCTATACGGGTTTCAATATCTGTCTGTACAGATGCAGTGTGTTGTATATGGATAATTTGAAATTTTTTCCTAACAACCAATACATTCTTTAGTATTTTATATCAAGCTCTTCGCGTTTCTTTTTAATATGGACTTTCAAGCGAAGTCTAGCATCACTTCATACCCACAAATTTTGCTGTATTGGCAAAAGGAAACTGAGTGTCATTTATTCTAATAATATATTATGGACCTCGTACACTACATTGAAGTACTCCGGCCCGGCCTTCATTTCTCTTAGGTTTAATTCAGAAATACCTTTCTGATAAATAGGATTTTAATAGCTCAGAGTATTGACGTGGCAGGAACATGTTCAGTTTTTGAATCAGGCCTCCATACTATACTTCGTCGAAAGCCTGAGCCACATCCAAAAAGACGGTGGAGCAAACTTTTTTTTTCTTCTAAGGACTTCTCGATGCTATTTGTGATTCTATGAACTTGGTCGATGTCGAGTGTTTTTTTCTGAGGCCAAACTGGTGGGAGGGTATTTTCTTCTATTATAGGTTTCAATTTCTTAAAAAGCAATTTTTCATAGATAACATAAGATAACAGGTAACAAGGAGTGTACGATGGAACATTATGGAGAAGTTTACGTGGCTTAGGTATCATTAAAACTTCTGCCACCTTCCACATCTCTGGTACGTACTTTAGTCTAAAGGACGTATTGATAAGATTGGTCATTTTGACAATAGCTTTCCGTGGAAGCATTTTCATAATTTCTCCAGTCAAATCCAGAGGCTTTTTTGTATTTATATTTGTTTGGATTCCCATATAAACTTCTTTGGAGAGTTAGATTTAACCACTTTGTCTTCTTGTGTTAGTTATATCCAGTCTTGAAGATCTTCACCATTATTGAGTTGGACGGTACTCTTTAACTCTAAATGTTCCGCAAGTCTGTTTGCTTCTTGCAAGTTGTTTCGGGCCCAGCTTTCATCTCTATTTCTGATTGGTGGGTTATGTATAGCAAATCTTTTTAATCATTTGGTAACTTTCCAGAGTGAATAATCGGTACTTTTATTGTTAGTTAATTAAGAATTCGCCAACCGACTTATTTTTAATGCGCCGTTTTTCACGTTTTAGCTATTGTGTTGCATTGTTTAAAGTTGTTTCTTCTATCACAGGAAAAAGGTTTGACAATTTATCTCTCTTGTCAGGTAACAAAATGTCACTTTATATGAAATTACTTTTTCCCCATTTTTCGGGAAAAGTGAATACTTTTTTCCCTGGATATACATACACATAAGTAAAGGTAGATATTTTTGAATATTTTTAGTAAATTATATATAATACTTTTTTCCCTTGTATACTAAATAACTATTTATCATCTAGGGTCCTAGACTGTTGCTATTTTCTTCTTATTTTCCTTTTTTCTGACTTAAGATTTCTGATCTCTTTTGGATAATTATTACCTTGCATTCTGCATTTAATCTCAGTAATGTTTTCCCAGGCTGCTTCTTAGTCTAATTGTTCCTAATTGTTCTTAATGGAATCAAAAGACCAATTAGTTGTTCTAGGTTTATTTTAAAGCTTTTCCAGTGTGTTCCTTGTTGACTAGTTTAGGTAAATTTTCTTTTTTGATTCAAAACAAATATATTTTTGAAACATCGAGAGACGGTCCTGTGCTCGGTACGCAGGTGTTCATTGTAGGCATCTGTAAATAAATGTCTACGTGACAATAACCGCGTTCACTGAGTTGCATCAGCGCGAAACCTCTCAAGGTCAACAAGTTTCTGGCACGTAAACATGAGGTTTGTTCAGGTTTCTTTAATACTCGATGCAAACCGTCCGAGAACCAGTCCTCTGATAGTTCTCAATGTATTTTTGAAGAAACCAAACAGACCTATGTATACCTTTCTTTGAACGGCAAAAAACATCAGATCAGTTTGTACTTCGCTAGAAGTCAGATGGGTTTCACTAGGAACACGATGACAGTTTTTCTTTTATATATTAAATAGTTTTCTGAGCAAAGATAATCAAATAATAATAAATAAAATAACAAAATGCGAACCCTAAGGCAGTGTTAAGCCTCTAGGTATTTTTAAATAAAAGTAGTGTAAATATGTAAAATTTAAAAGTTGTCGTGCAACGTTTTGCACAATAAAATGTTTTTTAAGAAGTTGCTGGAATTTCATTATCCGTATAAAAATATTTGCAGCTAGCACTGAAAGGAGACAGTCCATTTGGTAAGCGAGCCTTAGGGCCGTATTTATAATTTGTGTTGGGTTCAATTTTTAATAAACTACAAATTCAACATCACTCAATGTATGGGAGAATGATCTGAGTTCATGTTCCATGATTCTTCTATGTGCATATAATTTGAGGCGATATTCTTGATTTAAAAAAAATCTATGAGATTGGGAATTTTGTTCGAATCTGTATACCAGTATTAAGGTTTTTCAGTTGACATTGTTTGACATTTGTGTTGTTATTAGTCTAGATCCCCACCCAATAAACCACAAATAATCAGCATTCGCTCTGACACCGGTACGTACGGGAAGCCGAGTACTCAGATTGCCGTTGTCGGTGTTTCTTCTGAACCGGGAGGACCGTACCATCTGACGTAATTTAGAAGTAGAAACCGCATATAGTCCATATTTGGCTTTCCAGACATGGGAGGCATCCTTACGGGCCGAAGTAGGTGAATATTTGGCTAGCCGGGCATGGGAGGCATCCTTACGGGCCGAATTATATATAGACATTCGGCTGGGTGAACATGCCCTATCTGTATGCCAAAGGTGTACCCGTATATCGGGCCGAGTCCGGCATCCGGCAAGCCTCCTTCGGCCCAGTTACGGTGCCGATTAACTGTGTTGGGCAGTAAGTATGTTTTTTTACTACTAACATGAGAAATCACCATTATTAACTCCATTCCTCTAATGAGAAGTAATATTTCTCACCCTAGGTAAATAATGATAATAAAAAAACACCTACCTAGGTAAATAATGAAACTAAATTTCGTTAGTTTCATTCTGTTATTTTGACAACTAAACTCCCAGACTACTTGATATTTTGTTATATTTGAAAAATAAGTAGGAAATAACTAAAGCTGGGTTTATCAAAATCTAATCAAATCAAATATGATAATATATATCAGTGTTAATAGTAAAAATATATATTAACTAGGAAATTCAACACCGGCAATAGGCTTCAAAAATTATTAATTAATACCAATAAATCAATGTCACTAAAATATCAAAAATGCAATGGGATATTTCCTAGAATCACATCAAAATTTGACACATGCCAAATGTTTACATAAATAAAGCCAGTCTAATTAGAAACACGCTCCACTCTGCTTGATATTTCGAAATATTTAACAAATTGTCACCCTAGGTATATAATGTACTATTTGCATTAAAATCTCCTCCCACTATGAATCTGTATCCTTAGCTGTCCAGAAAGTCAACGATGCTTCTTTATAGCATGCCTTGGTGGGCTACATAAAGCTGTGATCACTATTTTTTATTATTACCAGTACTCAATAATATTTTTTGTACAAACGTGTTTCAATATAAAAAGTTGTAGTTTATAAATAAATAGGAGTACATATTAATTTACGAATTTTATTTTTTGTATATACTAATCTAGTAGGAATGCATGTCTTTTTTTTTCCTTCTTATATTAGAATGCTTTCTTAATGAGCAAAAAACACAGTGGAAACGTCAGTGGGAAATTTATCTAGACGATATAATATTCCACGCTCGACTGTTTAAATAATCTAAATTATGGCAAAAGAAGGCTCCAAAATACACTGTCGCTCAGTTGGAAAGAATACCCAGGAGTTGCCGTGTATTAGAATCGTAATTTAGGTTTTCGAGATTTCCCTAAATCATATTTCCTACTTTATCTTGGAAATAAAGTTGGAAAAAGCGAAATTTGCGATTCTTATTGGAAACACAACCTACCACACAGGTCCCACGCGCATACACTGGGAAAATAGGTTACAAATTTGTATTCAGGGCACACCGCCCTGAAAAGAAGGGTAACTCATATAGCAGGGTATCAGGAAAATGAAATTAGCTATAAAAATGTCAACACAAAATCTTAAGAAATTAAAAATTATAAAAAATAAAGGAAGGAGAAGAATTCAATTCACTATAAGCCTTCAATCAGAATTAAAAAAAAATAAATTATGAAACTTTTAGGCAACCTTAAAAGAATTTCAGAGAAAGCCGCTTATCAATACCTTGTCCCGTTCTCGAATTATAAGCTGTTAAAATGTGATACCTCACGTTTGGAAAATCTTGACATGCTTCCATAAAAAAGTAACGTTTCCCTAAAAACTTAATGTCAACAATGTATAAATTTTTGGAAAGACGAAGAATAAGTATTTCCAAGAATGTTAAAAATTATAGTGTGTTCTTTTAAAAGTAAACTAACAAATTTGACTAAAAAAAGTACTTCTTTTTAAAACTTTCCAGAAAAAATTACATGTGACAACAATGTCAAAAAATTGTAGTCTAGAGAAAACTGTATATTGATATATTTTTCCGTTCTCGACACATATGTTGTTAAAATTTGTCAATTTATATATTTTTTTAAATATAAAATCTTATTTCCTGTATTTTTCTAAACAAAAAGGTGCTCTTTTCAAAATTCGTTTAAGTTGGCCGTTTTTGTGATTGCATTTAACTTTTTTTATTCGATGTTACCCACAGCGACTGCTGTTGAAACAAGAGATAATCAATTTAATAACATTATAAATTAGTGATGGGACTTTTCATGAAAAGTAATTTTTGGACTAGTCCGATGTCCGGAAAAGTAGTAAAAAGTAAAGAAAAGTCATAATGAAAAGTAGTCGACCTTGGGCATAGAAAACGTACACCATCCTGGATGTTTTTTCAAAAACACTTTTGGAAACAATATTTGCTTTTGTATTTTCGTTTTTTTTTGGCAAATCATTAATAAAATACTTCCAACCTTTGGTTTGTTGGTAATTTTTCACGTGCCTATTTTAATAAGATATGATACGAAAATTCGAAAACATTGTTAAAACATACAAAAGTTAATAGTAATCATTTGTCGTTTCTTCTTTTTTAAACTTTGTAAGAAATTCAGAGAAATTAGTTATTTTAATGTCGCGCATGCGCAATACATTTTCAATTTTTGAAAATTGTGTTTGAACTAGTCAGCTTTTGCTACTTTTACGAGAACATATATTTGTAATGCGTTTTCTTGTCTCTAAGAACATATAACCCTTTTAAGTGATGCCTTAGGCTCGGAAACATTCAGGCGCCAGTTTTGTAAATGTTGTTTGCTCAAAAAAAAAATTTTGAATCGGCGTCAAAAGGGCTCGATCTAGTGGAGATGAGAAAAAATTCCAGAGTTCTCGTTGATATCAGACTGTGAATATAAGAGGGTAACAATAACGGGTTTTAATCGTTGTTATTATTATCATCACAGATCGGGTTCGCTTGAGTTTACTTATGAAAAGTGAGTTTAAAAAGAAACCGAACTAATAATTAATTATTTTTAAAATTTAATCGTTACCAGGTATCTAGTTCAGTATCTAATCTTAAATTTTCTTACCCTTTACGAAATATCAAAATAATAGAAAATTTCCACGGATAATATCCATGCATATGGCCCTTAGCTAGTTTTAGTTATTATTTGTAAATTAGATAAAATAATTACGTTATAATTACATTAACGGACCCCTAAGAAATTTAATAAAAAAATATTTTACGCATATAGGGCATTAGCTAGATTAGATATTATTTATAAAAAATATATTTCCAATTGAAAAATTAATAAAGAATTTCCAACGATAACACCTAAATTACAAGTAATATCCTTATGGAACCTCGCTATAAACTAGTTTCAGATGTATTTTTTTTTTTTTTAATAAAATAATTACGGAAACTAGAGGTTATCTTTTATATAACAAAAAAACTATCCCAAATCTGACACCAGTCAATTTTCAAATTCGAAAATTTAATATATCTCCGTTACAGTGTAGCCATTTAACTAATGGTAGAATTTTAAAATGTAGTAGATAGCTTAGTATATTTCTATAAATATGCCCCTGTGGCATAAAACTCCGCAACTAAATTGGTAGGAAACGATAAAGATGGAGGCTAAAAAATTTGATAAAAGTACTAAAAGGGCAGAGAAAACTATGTATGAAAATAAGATCATTGTGGAAGAAATGCGTACAGACTGGTCTCATAGAACCCAAAAAAAATTGAAACCTTTGAAAAAATAATACAAGTTTATTTAAAATTCGGGACAATATATAATTTAAAACTTACCAATAAATGTATACCGAAACCTTTACATCTTTCCACATTGTGCATGCCAAGGTCCTTTGCCGGATTCTGTAAGGCAGTATCTAAGACGTCGAGTCGCATTAAAGATTTCACATAGTATTTTTCTGAAGATTCCCATATCATTTTTATTTTATTTTCTTCAAATCTAAAAATTAGTATTTATTCACAATTATATGTATTCAAAATTGTTAAAAGTCGGAGAGGGTACTATTATTGCGAGTTTTAGTTTCCTCCCACAGCACATGGCGATGCATAGAGAGAATCACAAATTTTCGACCTGATCCGTCATAGTTCGGACGTGGGGGCACGTATAGTCTATACGAAGTCAATTCGAACAGCTAAATAAAAGACTCATGTACCGGGTCTGATAAATTTACTAGTTAATATCATATACAACCTCCCATAAAAAATTGATGATTAGACCTCGTATGAATTTATTACCTCTCACTACTGCATGTCGGCAGTATCTAGTCGAACAAATAATATTGCATACACAAGCAAAATATGAAGGTCAAAAAATGCCGGGTCCACTGTGAACACCGTTGTTTGCATTTTAGGGTAAATTGTCAGTGCTGTGACTTGAGAAAGATTTATAAAATTAGTTTATTCTGCGTTCTTGAGAATTTTAGTGAGTGGCTTACATTTGTGTCGTGTTTTTCTAAATTGTTTTTTTGTGGTTATTATTTAATCAAGATGGCACTGTAGAGACCTTTTCTTGATGTTTCGGATTTTGAAACGGATAATGTTGAAGGCTCAGTTGAAGATAGTTATATGGCGGAATCGTCAGCATTTTTAAATAAAGACTTGCATCCTCAAACCCAAAGACTTATTTTAAATATTTACACTTGTTTGAAAAGTGAAATGCGTGGGACCTCACAAAACGAAGTTTTAAAAAGGATTTGTGAGCTGACCAAACTTCCTCGTACTACAATTTATACTGTTGTTAGAGCAAAAGATGTCATTAATCGTTCCGTAAAATGAAAAAGAGATATTCAAAAGCTTAAGAAGGTTAATAATGCCGACAAAGTAGTTATATGCCGAGTTGTACACAAGTTTTACGAAGATAACAAGGTTTCAACTTTAGAAATGGTTCGTAACAAGTTACGGGATAACCCCGATTATAAATATAAATCTATAGATACATTACGTAATATTTTACTTGAGGCTTCAAGTACAAAAAAATGAATAAAAGAATGGTCATAATGGAGTCATCTCGCATCGTAGCATGCCGGCAGGAGTATTTATGAACAGTTAAGCAATACCGTCAATCAAAAACAGAGATAGTGTACCTTGATGAAACTTGGTTCGACACACATGATCTTGTTAAATATGGTTGGGTGAATGAAGTGCTCCTAAAGGTATCTTGTTCTCGCGGTAAACGAGTTATCATTCTACACGCAGAGAGTAAGAATGGTTTTGTTCCTAATGCTCTTCTATTATCAGCTAAAAATATAAACCAATCAACTGCTGACTACCATGAAGATATGACCGCCAGTCTCTTTGAAAAGTGGTTTAATGAACAACTGCTGCCAAATCTTTTCCCAAATTCTGTTATTGTTATGGGTAATGCGTCTTATAATTCCCGTCTACATAACAAAATTCCCAATAACAGCACAAAGAAGGAAGACATTCTTAAATTCATGGAAAGTAAAAATATGGAAATTCCTACAAAGGCTCCCAAAAAAGTGTTATTGAAAGCTATAAAAAAAAGAAAATTTTCAAAAAGAATATGTAATCGACAAGATATGCGAAGCCCATGGTCATACTACTCTACGTCTTCCTCCTTATTACTGCGAATTTAATTCGATCGAGATGATTTGGGCTGCTGTTAAAAAATACTTGAGAAAATATAATCAATATCCAACTGACAGTGCTTCCGTACTAGGAAATATACGAACGGTTATTAATGAAGTGACACGACAGTGGTAAATGGATGAAATGTGCCCAGCATGTCATAGAAAAGGAGAATGAATATTGTATTGTACCTTCCATTGACTCCATTATTATAACTCTAAATTCAAATTCAAGCTCTGAAAATTCAGATAATGACTCTTAACTTTTTATTAAATTCTCCTGGCATGACAACCTGGTGTTTTTTGGCATTACTCTATATTTCTAATAAAAAAAAATATCCGTGTAGGTATATGAAAAATAAAATTAATTTTGAAAAAACTATAACACGCCGCCCATGCTATACAAAGAAGCCGCCGACGGTCGGTAGATATTTAGTTTTTATGCCGTTCGAATTGACTTTGTATTCGCTCCGTGCGCGACAGCAGCGCCAATTCGTTTTGATACTAATGGACTATTTCTGCATACACTGACAAATGCAACTTTTAATAGAATTCGTAATTAAAAAGTATATATGGTAGTTTTAATAAAAGTATATGGATTTGTAAAACAAGTAAAACATTAATTTATTATTATTATATATTTTTATCGCTTAAATTAAAGAAAATTATGTATAATCGATAAAAATGAATAATAAAATATAGGCAGGCAACAGTATTTACTGGAAATTGTATGAGAAGTTGCCTAAGTCTAATAAATTTTCATTGAAGAATTACTCTAATCTGTCAAAATAAAAAAATTCCATTTAATAATAGCGTAAAGTTAAAATGTATAAAAAAAGGATCATTACTTATATTTTCATTTTTGTTCGAAAGAAAACATAGAATGAATGATTAAAACTGATTTCCCATCAGTAAGTTACAAAATTGCGGGTCCAACCACATATAATAATCAAAGGCAGAAATCTTGAAATCTAGTCCTTGCTGAATGAACATTTAAGAATAAGGGATATTAAAGAACATGGTAAAATGATAATTTATTGTTGATTTAAAACCTTTCAAGTTTCTGATGTCTACTATTTGCAGCATTACGGTTATTATTACAAAAATAAAGGTAATTTTTCTTCTTATTGTATATCTATCCATTTATTTCTTTGATTTAATTTCCACTTTGCTACTGAAATTTTTTATATAAGTTTCACTGTTTTTTTGCTAGTATTTGTTCAATTTTCAACACAGCAACTCCGGTTGCTTAATGTATTGTTTTTACCTACTTTTTTTGAAAAAAAGTAAAATGTATACGTGTATTTGATATGCCAAAATTACAAAATATCCCCCTAAAATGCACGAATTATCCGCAGCTAGCGCTAGTATCGCTTTTGCTTCCCTTTCCATGACTTCGCACGGAGCGAATAGACTATATTTGAAAATAGTTGTTACAGAGTAGATTCAAATCAAATTTTGGGCACTTTTACAACATACCTAATTTACTACTTACTTGTATACAAATAATACCCCCACCATTCCCAAGAAGGAGATGGAGGAGGTACCATCTCAGAACTTTTTAAATAAAACAATTGGAATCTACGATTTTTTTTACATACATACCCAAAATTTCATATTCTTTGGACAATTTTTTTAAATATTTATAGACTTGAACCGTTATAGTCATTGAATATACTAATATGTACTAACAAACTGTTATTAATTTCTGAGTACCTTTAAATAAAACAAATACTTTAAAAATTGGCTCGTTTCCTCACCACCCCTGAGGTAAAGCCATTATGTTTTTATAGTGGTGTCCCCATAAGCCTTGCATAATATTTATAATTCCCAAGTGAAAGTTTCGTTTTATGTTACATATACAAATATTAAAAAGGAAACAAATGACTGTGGGGTATTACACTATCATATTGTTATGTGAGCCATTTCATTATTCAGTCATGCTCTAACCCTACAAGTTCCTCTCTGTCTTATTTGGCCATTAAGGCTCAAGTTGTCCGATTATTATACATAATTAAACCCCTTAAGACCAAACCTATGGGACGACTATGGCGGAGGTGATTTCGATGATGTTCGAGAAAGGACGAGATAATATTTCTGGACTGTTCGAAATATTTCTAGATTGGTGGAGAAGCTTCTCGACTCCACCAAATTTTAGAAATTTGTATATAAATATTGGTGGATGAGCCATCAGAGTCAGTATTATATGAACAGTGAAGATAAATAGTAATCAGTGATATATAGACAGTTGACAATAAAGTATTGGACTGTGAATATAAATAGTGAACGATTCAAAGACATTAGAAATATATATAAATTAGAAATAGTTGTGTTATAAAATAAATAAGTGTTTAAATAAATTATTAATAAATAAACTGTTGTTTGAAAATAAACAAACATCACAATATTCACTTTAGATAAAACTGAAAAATTATAAATTAATAAAATTTTCTCCAAAAATAAATGAACCTTGTTAAAATAAATAATAAATTTTAAATAACCAAAAGAAATATTTCTTTCATTCGTTGCAGTTGCAAATATTCATATTGTATTCTTCATGCGATTCTTTCCTTTTCCTGGGTAAGCCCTTGCCACATCCCGCAGAAACCTTTGGAACCGATCCTTCTAGTCTACGATTTCCTTCAATATGTTCTTCCTGCACATCAATTCTCTAATATATTGTTGAGCGGTATTAAAATTTGAATTTGGTTACAGAAAAAAGTGCCATAATTTTAACCACGTATTTAGCGCATCAAAACAAACAACTTTTGTCAAATACAAATTTTGAAAATTCATTGTTTTTATAATTTTGTAAACTCTAAAATAACCCTAACGAGCTATCTGTGATTCACAATGTTATACAATTTTTGCTACAGGTCAAATGACTAACACGCCCGACGATTATTACTTTTAATTTTAGTTGTGTGCAATTGTGCATGTCGATTAATAGCTTGCAGTTGGGTTTATTTTGCTTTTTAAAATGACGATTTTAACAATAGTGAATTCACTGACATGGTGTTACCTAGTTTCCGGTGAAGCCCATGGACATTCCATACTTGCACGTAATATTTATACAGAACGTTTTCCAAATCGAGCCAAGCCAAATAGACGCACATTTCTTCGTGTTATTCAAGGCCTTTGGTATAACGGATCCTTTCAAAGAGCAGTTCATAACCGAGGCAGACAACGGCCTGTTCGTGTTGTAAAGGTAGAAAATGCAATTTAGGAAAATGTTACTAATAATACAGGGACAAGCACACTTAGATTGGCCTTAGGGGTAGGTAGTACTAGGTGAGACGAAATTTACATTTTTGGCTTTAATTTATTTTTTTTTCTTAACACGCATTTTGTT